ACAAGGTTTCCCTTTTTCCTTCACCTAGGCCATGGAATCAGTCATTTGTAAATTGAAATATTTTTACTCAGTCACTGCATGTTCTTGCCAATGATCATAATGTACATAATTTTGTCAAGATAAATCTGATACCTTTCTTATTGAATATTGAGTTGAATGCTGAAATCTGTTTGAAAAAGGAGTGTTATTGATCAGTGAATTGAGTCAGTCAAACATGAGTGAAGAGATTCAGATGAAAGGAGCCCCTACTAAAAATACAACAAAAGGTCAGGCCACTTCACTTTATTGTTTAATTCCCTCTCCCTGCCCCATTGTCAGGCACTTTCAAGACATAATGGAATATTTCAAAAGACATTGTATTCTGTGTAAACTTCAAGCACTTTGTTCACTCAAACACGTTTGTATAAAAATGCATGTCTGTTATGTCTGGTCTAATTACCAGGGCAGTCCTGTTAAACATATGATAATATTGTAAGGATTATATATAACATGACTGGTCTTATTACAGCAGTGTGTTAATTCTTATGCTGTTGGCAGATAATTGTCTTTCTTAAAAGTATATTACTCTTATATCTTCTATGTTTGGTGAAAATGTTTAGCTCTGAGGGTTACTTTTACTTCATATTGTTTGAATATTGATAATTTACATTATTAGTTAAAGAGAAATAGTTTCATCAAATTGAAATACAGCTATCATGAATAAGTATGGTATTGGTATATTTCAGATGTCCTCGGTGTAACAGAATAAGGAAAACACTGGCTAGAAATAATTGTACATTGTATTTTGTTATATTTCATATGTACCCTGTATCCTCAGTGCAATGAAATACCTTGTAATGAAGTCACTGTTTATAAATAATCTTTGTTATATTTCAGATGTGCCCTCTATCCTCAGTGTAATGGAGTACCTGGTAATAAAGGCTCTGGCTGTTGAACAACCCAAGCTGATCATGGTAAGGAACACGCCCAAATAATGTACCTTCTTAGGCAGCTATCACAGTCAGTGATGTGTTGTTTAAATTGGTTCCAATTTTGAAAATCAGATAATTTGTACAAGAAGTGTTACACCTGGCTAAATTGTTCCCTAATGTTCCCTAAACTTCCCTTAAAATTATTCCCCTGTTTGAAATTGATAATAATAATACAAAAGGATTTTTTCAAAGTTCACGAGCAAAATCATCTGTAAAGAATTTTAATTTCATTGTGCAGTAGGATAACAAAGTATAAATTTGAATTAGTCAAAGACTGGTATGCTTTCTTTTTTTTTTTTTTTTTTTTTTTTTTTTTTGGGGGGGGGGGATGTGCACTTGTATGGCACTCCTACCTCTCCCTCAAGACTTTTTCAAAATATTTAGGGTGGGGACTTAATAAGGTGCCATCCTTTTCCTTCTCTTACTTAAAGTTGCTTTTAGTCAGCATAAAGATGAGCACCACATGTATAAATACCCTGCTTTCATGTATTTGCAGTTCTTCAACAGCTGTACCTCCCTCCTAACAAGCATTTTTTTCATCATTCTACATCCCTGACATTACATAATTATCTTTTTCCCACATATGCATTGCACATTGGACCAAGAAGTGATTAAAAGAAGTGTTGAAGTTTCAAAGAAAATTATTATTATTACCATGTGTATCGCGCATTTTGTTGATCTTAAAATCATTTTCTTGCAGTGTATGACAGCACTGTGTAAGTGGACCCAGCCTTCCCATGATGCAATGCAGCTGGGAAGAGATATCATAGGTCACGTCAGAAGAACAGCAGCCGAGGACAGAGAAAACAAACAGGGTGAATATTTTAGAAATTACTTACTAAGGATTAAAATTTAACCTGTATTGTAGTGAAGGGTAAAAAGATGGGAAGCACATTAATTTTCTAAGTTGTTCAAATAAATGAAAGAAAAATAAGAAAATAATAAAAGCAACATACTGAAATTTATTAAAACTGGGAGTTAGAAGTGATTTCTTATATCTGCCATCCTAAACAACTAAAAGACTGTCACTCATATTGACACAAAGGCCAGCAAGCAAGCCAAGTTTCTCCTCATGTCGGTCTTCATATTTCAGCCATCTTGTTTGAGCAGCAGAAGGCACTGGAGTTGTTATGTGTCCACGAGGGCTGGCAGTGGACCAATAACACACTGATTAGAGAGCTCCTGTGGCCAGTACTACAGGAGTGGGGGGCCCAGCAGCCTCCTACACCTAGTAGTAATATGGTGGTGGAGTTCGCTCTCAGGATGATGGGTGAGATCTGCTTCTCTCTCTCTCTCTCTCTCTCTCTCTCTCTTAATTGATCTCTCTGTCTGAATCTGTTTTTTTTTTTTTTTTTTTTTTTTTTTTTTTTTTTTTTTTTTTTTTTTGTCTTATGACACCAACCTGTACATCAACCAGTTTTATTTGTTTATTGTTAACATTTGATTTTATTTCTTTCCTGCCTGTGTGTAAAATATGTTAACTTTGTTTACTAGTTTAAGTTTCACCTAATTTGCATTTTATCCATCTTTTCCACTCATTTCTTTTTTTTGTCTACCTTTTTTGTTAATTATGTCCCAGTTCCCCCGCTATGTCCATTGTGCTTTATTCACCTGCTTATCATAAAGATATTTTTATATTCAATCAGAAAAGTAATAGTATTATATTTTCAAGTAAGACTTAATTTGTAGGAGTGTGGGTGTTGATAGCTGTACAGTGATAGTGTGAAGTATGAAATGCACTGAAGGAAAAAATGTAATAAGTTGATTTTACGGTATGAGTATCATAACAACTGTTACATATTATGTTATATTGGCTTATGTATATTTTTTCTCCCTGTCAGGCCTTGTAAGCTTCCACTGTCCACCAGAACATGCCTCCTCTGCACATGAGATCATGAAGACACTGTATACCTTCTTAAAGAGTGCTCAGCAGTCGGGTGGAGTGGGTACGTTTTATGTCATGTACACATGAGCTAGCAGAAATGGGCAAACACAACTTGCTCTCTGGCTCCTTTTGTGTGTGTCTGTCACAAATAAAAGTGCAAATGTTCACACATTCTCTCTCTCTCTCTCTCTCTCTCTCTCTCTCTCTCACACACACACACAGGGCAGTGTAACAGGTGTTGCTATACATATAGTTGTCTCCTCTTTAATAATACCCCATTCATGTCAAATTATACTTCAATTAGATGCCTATGTATGTCACTAATTTCCCCTCTGTTCTTTCTTTTCCAGTCAGTTGGTCCATACAGACAGCGGTATTCGAGTCGCTGCTCTACCTGGCTCCATTCTCTCCTGAGCTCGTCTCCACTGCCTGTAACTCCTGGGGGAAGGAAAACAAGGATCGGATGACAGAGGGAATGCTGGGAAAAGTGAAAGGTTTTTACCAGTGCTACATGAACAAGTGTCCAGTTTTAACACTACCGGACTTTGTGAAAGCAAGCTTATAGTGCTATTTCAGTAGACTTCTCTTGTACCCGAAAAAAGTGGAATGATCTCGATTTATTTGATTTCCATATTCAGTTATTAATTTTTTATATTTGTAAGAGAAAATAACTGTAATTGAAGAACCATTTTTATGAAAAAAGACAGTATTATTGGGAAAATCTGAATGATTGAGCTATAATTGAGCTATAGTGAGCTTAACTGTCTGGCACGCCCCCTCGAGTAACTATTGACTATTGTTAATTACCCCCTAGCAGCTTGAGTAAGCATTCCAGAAATTTAAGCTAGTTACACTAAAAGCGCTTTGGTGAGAAGCCCTGCTGAGTTGGATTGATCCAGCTTTTATGATGGGTTTATGGGAATGCTCCTATAGTGCGAGAATTTAGGGTTGATGTTGTCTCTTAAACTCTCAGTTTCAGAGATTAGCAGATACTCACCTCTATTATCAGTATAGGCAGGGAATCTATTCAGTGTCTACTAGGGAATTAAGCAACATGTTTTTATTGGCCATATTTGAACTGCAGATCTGTGTGCTGTTCCGAATGGGCTCTGGATGTCAATTTCTCTCTAGCTGTATGTATCCTGTCAGTGTAATTAGCAGTACATTAATCTGCTGCAAACTGCTTTCATGTAATATTTATGATTTTTCTTCTCCCAATGGACTATATTAGTAATACCATTAAGCCATTTACTGAACAAACATNTAAAAATTCTTGTTGATTGCATTTTTACAGCTTGTCAAGCACAAAACTGGTGGCTGTGTCCCTTATTTTGTGTATGTGGGGGTCTATACGAATGCGCTTGCTCCAGCTGGTGGTACAATATTCGGAGGCGGTATCGCCTCTCTGATCCTCTAGTTTTATTATTTATTCACCACCCTCATCCCCATTATCAGACACTTTCAAGACATAGTGGAATATTTCAAAAGACATCGTGTACTGTGTAAACTTCAAGCACGTTGTTCACTCAAACTCGTCAATAAAAATGCATGTGTGGTATGTCTGGTCTTTTTACCAAGGCAGTCCTGTTAAACATATGATAATGTGATAAGGATTATATATAATATGACTGGTCTTATTACAGCAATGTGTTCTTATGCTGTTGGCAGATAATTGTCTTTCTTAAAAGTATATTACTCTTATATCTTTTATGTTTGGTGAAAATGTTTAGCTCTGAGGGTTACTTTTACTTCTTATTGTTTGAATATTGATCATTTACATTATTAGTTAAAGAGAAATAGTTTCATCAAATTGAAATATAGCTATCGTGAATAAGTATGTTGGTATATTTCAGATGTTCTCAGTGTAACAGAATAAGGAAAACACTGGCTAGGAATATTTGTATTTTGTTATATTTCACATGTACCCTGTATCCTCAGTGTAATGAAATACCTGGTAATGAAGTCACTGTTTATAAATAATCTTTGTTATATTTCAGATGTGCCCTCTATCCTCAGTGTAATGGAATACCTTGTAATGAAGTCACTGTTTATAAATAATCTTTGTTATATTTCAGATGTGTCTTCTATCCTCAGTGTAATGGAGTACCTGGTGATGAAGACACTGGCTAGAAATTATGAAAATATGTGTTGTTATATTTCAGATGTGTCCTCTATCCTCAGTGTAATGGAGTACCTGGTAATGAAGACACTGGCTGTAGAACAACCTAAGCTGATCATGGTAAGGAATACACCCAAATATCGTACCTTCGTGGGCAGCTGTCACTGTCAGTGATGTTTTGTTTAAATTGGTTCCAATTTTAAAAATCAGATAATTTGTATAAGAAGTGTTACCCCTGGCTAAATTGTTCCCCAATGGTTCCCTTTACTTCCCTTTAAATTATTCCTCTATGTTTCAAATTGTTAATGATACAAAAGGAGTTTTTTAAGTTTAATAGCAAAATCAACTGTAAAAAAATTAATTTCATTGTGCAGTTGGATAACAAAGTATAAATTTCAACTAGTCAAAGACTAGTATAGTAGTATTCTTTTTTTTTTTTTTTTTTTTTTTTTGAGGGAGGGTGTGTACTTGTATGGCACTCCTACCTCTCCCTCAAGACTTTTTCAAAATATTTGGGGTGGGGACTTAATAAGGTGCCATCCTTTTCCTTCTCTTACTTAAAGTTGCCTTTCGTCAGCATAAAGATGAGCACCACATGTATAAATACCCTGCTTTCATGTATTTGTAGTTCTTCAACAGCTGTACCCCCCTCCTAACAAGCATTTTTTTCATCATTCTACATCCCTGACATTACATAATTATCTTTTTCCTACATATGCATTGCACATTGGACCAAGAAGTGATTAAAAGAACAGTGTTGAAGTTTAAAAAAAAATATTATTATTATCATGTGTATCGCGCATTTTGTTGATCTTAAAATCATTTTTTGCAGTGTATGACAGCACTGTGTAAGTGGACTCAGCCTTCCCATGATGCAATGCAGCTGGGAAGAGACATCATAGGCCAGGTCAGAAGAACAGCAGCCGAGGACAGAGAAAACAAACAGGGTGAATATTTTAGAAATTACTTACTAAGGATTAAAATTTAACCTGTATTGTAGTGAAGGGTAAAAAGAAGGGAAGCACATTAATTTTCTAAGTTGTTCAAATAAATGAAAGAAAAATAAGAAAATAATAAAAGCAACTAATACTGAAATATATTAAAACTGGGAGTTAGAAGTGATTTCTTATATCTGCCATCCTAAACAACTAAAAGACTGTCACTCATATTGACACAAAGGCCAGCAAGCAAGCCAAGTTTCTCCTCATGTCGGTCTTCATATTTTAGCCATCTTGTTTGAGCAGCAGAAGGCACTGGAGTTGTTATGTGTCCACGAGGGCTGGCAGTGGACCAATAACACACTGATCAGAGAGCTCCTGTGGCCAGAACTGCAGGAATGGGGAGTCCAGCAGCCTCCTACACCCAGCAGTAATATGGTGGTGGAGTTTGCTCTCAGGATGATGGGTGAGATCTGATTCTCTCTCTCTCTCTTTATTGATCTCTCTGTCTGAATCTGTTTTTTTTTTTTTTTTTTTTTTTTTGTCTTTTGACACCAACATCAATCAGTTTCTCTTATTTATTTATTTATTGTTAATAGTTATTTTACTCTTTTTCTGCCTGTGTGTGAAATATGTTAACTGACCATGATCCTATAATTTTGCTTACTTATTGTAAAGATGTTTTGATAAACAAATATAAAAGTAATAGTATTATATTCTCAAGTAATACTCACTTTGTATGGTTGTATATGTTCATAGCTGTATAATGATAGTGTGAATTGTGTGAAGTACAAATTGCACTGAAGGCAAAAAAATGTAATTAGTTAATTTTGTAGTACGAGTATCATAACAACTGTTACATATATATGTTATTATTATTATTATTATTATTATTATGTTATATTGGCTTATCTCTACTTTTTGTCTCTGTCAGGCCTTGTAAGCTTCCACTGTCCACCAGAACATGCTTCCTCTGCACATGAGATCATGAAGACACTGTATACCTTCTTAAAGAGTGCTCAGCAGTCGGGTGGAGTGGGTACGTTTTATGTCATGTACACATGAGCAGAAATGGGCAAACACAACTTGCTCTCTGGCTCCTTTTGTGTGTGTCTGTCACAAATAAAAGTGCAAATGTTCACACATTCTCTCTCTCTCTCTCTCTCTCTCACACACACACACACACACACACACACTATCACACACGCACACACTATCACACACACACACACACACACACAGGGCAGTGTAACAGGTGTTGCTATACATATAGTTGTCTCCTCTTTAATAATACCCATTCATGTCAAATTAAACTTAAATTAGATGCCTGTGCATGTCACTGATTTCCCCTCTGTTCTTTCCCTTCCAGTCAGCTGGTCCATACAGACAGCAGTATTCGAGTCGCTGCTCTACCTGGCCCCATTCTCTCCTGAGCTTGTCTCCACTGCCTGTAACTCCTGGTTGAAGGAAAACAAGGATCGGATGACAGAGGGAATGCTGGGAAAAGTGAGAGGTTTTTACCAGTGCTACATGAACAAGTGTCCAGTTTTAACACTACCGGACTTTGTGAAAGCAAGCTTATAGTGCTTTTTCAGTAGACTTCTCTTGTACCCGAAAAAAGTGGAACGATCTCAATTTATTTGATTTCCATATTCAATTATTAATTTTTTATATTTGTAGTTTTGTTAAAGAAAATAACTGTAATTGAAGAACCATTTTTATAAGAAAGATAGTATTATTTGGAAAATATGAATGATTGAGCTATAATTGAGCTATAGTGAGCTTAATTGTCTGGCACGCCCCCTCAAGTAACTATTGACTATTGTTAATTACCCCCTAGCAGCTTGAGTAAGCGTTCCAGACATTACAGCTGGTTACACTAAAAGCGCTTTGGCGAGAAGCCCTGCTGAGTTGGATTGATCCAGCTTTTATGATGGGTTTATGGGAATGCTCCTATAGTGCGAGAATTTAGGGTTGATGTTGTCTCTTAAACTCTCAGTTTCAGAGATTAGCAGATACTCACCTCTATTATCAGTATAGGCAGGGAATCTATTCAGTGTCTACTAGGGAATTAAGCAACATGTTTTTATTGGCCATATTTGAACTGCAGATCTGTGTGCTGTTCCGAATGGGCTCTGGATGTCAATTTCTCTCTAGCTGTATGTATCCTGTCAGTGTAATTAGCAGTACATTAATCTGCTGCAAACTGCTTTCATGTAATATTTATGATTTTTCTTCTCCCAATGGACTATATTAGTAATACCATTAACCCATTTACTGAACAAACAACTCCAGTTGTACAGAGTGAAATGAATACTCAACGGACAATATTGAATAATTCTCTGTGAGATCTCTACATATCACGGGCACATGTCTACACTTGTATGACTCTCCCCTCCCACAAGGTCAGGTAAGGCTTCATTCACATGCAATGTCTATTTTCTAAAAATCTATTTTCTATTCGCGGTTTGTCTTATGATCATGGTCTGTGCCCTGAATATCCCGCGGCGTAATTACTGGCAGCGCGAGCCAGTTACTTATAGTACAGATTTCCATTTGAACAAAGCCTAGGTAATTGCTACAGTTATAAAACTGTACTTTAAATATGTAAATATAATTGTATCATATAATGATAGTATTTAACAACTAGCTGTATATACCATTAAGTGGCAATTGCCGTAAGCTTTTTTGGTTATAATTTTATGCCAAGAGCTTTTATAGTTATTATATAAAACCGTCTGCATGGGCAGCTTTGTGTAAAAATCAATTTCAGTATATATTTTTTTGAATCAGTGTGGCATTTCATTGTGAATATTTAAGATGACCCTTTTCCAGTCACATTGTATATGTTCTTTTCTATAAATTATGTGCAATTGTTTGTATGTATTTTTTTCTTTAATAAACCATTGTCATAATTGTGTATGGCGTTTGTCACAGTCGTGGAGAATTTGCATTGCTTCAGTTGTGTCTCATTTAAAAGACATGAGGGTTCAAGTTAATTTTTTTCTT